CCATATTTCCCATCAGTTATGTCATTACTTACTAAGGACAGAAAATTAGCAATAGGACCGGTGTATTTGTTTCTTGATCTGTACCACTTCTAATGGGAATGAGATGGACAAATTTTCTAAACCAACTTGGTTTTGGCGTAAAGGACTTACTTTGATGCAATTCTATGTATGTGTTCATGCGCTTTTAACATATATGTACTGGAATAATCACGTATGATTGGTTTATAGATGGGTTAGGAATGGGCTTGGTTGGTAGCCTCAAAACTTAAGATGTGTTTGGGCTAATGCCAAGACGATGCTACCTCTAATCAGTTTTACATGTTGGACTCTTATATTTCTCCATAGTATCTGTGTTCACCGGATATGATAAGAGTATTGGTGTGAAATGTGTATTTGACACCAGTACCTAATTTAGACACCTGGATCCTCTAATTTTATATGATTTTCGAAGAAGAAACTAACATTTGCTAGTAAATAAATATTTGTTGCCTTTCACATGGATGAGGGATATAACATATTTCATATTTTCCCTAAATTCTATTTAATTTCATGTAAGTTTTTAAATAATTTATATAATATTATCTAAGAATATTAACAATACGCAATTTATACAAGTATTTAAGACATGTCCCATGCCCATACCCAACTTTAAGATACATATCTTAATATTCTAAGATTTTGGTTTAGGAAGGTTTGATGCTACTTGCACCTGATACTTGTATCCGAGTCCATATAGCATAGGTATTAGCTCACATGCCTACACATATGAGTCATTTCTTTAGCATCTGACACTCTCAAGGCTGCTTATGCTTTTGAGTTTTGTTAGCCAGGGCCTTCCTTTTTTTCCACTTATACTTGTATGTTATAATTGGGCGTTGTTTTTTTTTTTCATACTTGTATGTTATAATCCAACCATATAATGTAAGGACTCCAAAACTATTTAAATTAAGTCTTAATTGCATGCGATTCTCCCATGGAATTTGTTTCACTACTCTTGGGCATGCTTTTGGGAATTAATGCGTTGAGTAGATTCCCCTGCATTTCAGTTTCTAATGTTATATTTTACTCAATGACAGCCAATGAGTATGGTATTACCTGGTGTGGTTGGATTCGAGTTGTCTGGAAAATTATGCAATGGTGTCACTACTATTGACTTGGTTTTGACTGTGACCCAAATGCTAAGGAAGCATGGTGTTGTTGGCAAATTTGTTGAGTTCTATGGTAATCAAACTGAAGCCTTGGTACTTTTCAACTTCCATGGTTCTGTCAATGGTAGATTTTAATGTTTTCGTATGTCCTTATTTGTAGGTGAGGGTGTGGGCAAAATTTCGTTAGCTGACAGGGCTACCATTGCTAATATGTCTCCCGAGTATGGTGCAACAATGGGGTTCTTTCCTGTAGATCATGTTTCTTTGCAATATCTAAAATTGACTGGAAGAAGTGAGGAAACTGTGAGTACTTTTCAACATTCATGTGTGTTCGTTTGAATGTGGATGAAACCAAGGACAATGATATTGATAATAGTGATGTCTATCATGTCTTGGTGCTTGTGATATATATTTTCACTAGGTAACACTCTTTTGTGTTGAAATTCAGGTGGCAATGATTGAAGCATATTTACGTGCAAATAACATGTTTGTTGACTATAATGAGGCAAGGCTCTCTGTTTTACAATATGATAATTTGCTTTTTAAAGTTTCAGTTGGATATAATTATCTTCTTCCCCTAATTTCAGCCTCTGCAAGAAAGAGTATACTCATCCTATCTACATCTAGACCTTGCGGATGTTGAACCTTGTATTTCTGGCCCAAAGAGGTGTGTGCTCTGTGCATCTTCAAACTTACGCACACAATGCAAGTGTCGTTATTTGTTAGCATAGATCTAACCATTCTTACTCTTATTGACAGGCCACATGACCAGGTTCCTTTGAAAGAAATGAAAGCGGACTGGCATTCTTGCCTTGACAACAAAGTTGGATTCAATGTAACTGTTAGGCCATTTGAGCATTGAACTTCTTATGATGTGATAGCCTGATTAATCTGCTTCATTATAATTCTAGCAGTTTTATTTTGAGTCAGTTTACTGAATTTGCTTTTCTTTTTTCTTTGCTTTTTTATTGCAAATGTTTTCTTGTTGTAATGAACATCAGACATGCTGTTAGTGTACGTTGGTGATGTAGTTGGTATGACTACATCAAAGGAATAATTTCTAATTACCAAGGAAATATGGGATAAACTTGAATGGACTTTGAAAGTTATATTGTGTTTTGGTGGTGTTGCCATCGTGTATAGCCCTTGATTGCTAGTATTTGTAATGTTTAATTATGATGTAGGGCTTTGCTATACCAAAAGAGGTACAGAACAAAGTGGTAAAGTTTTCGTTCCACGGACAGCCTGCGGAGCTTAATCACGGTAGTGTTGTCATTGCTGCTATCACGAGCTGCACAAATACATCAAACCCTAGTGTCATGCTGGGGGCGGGCCTAGTTGCAAAAAAGGTTTGTGAACTGGGTCTGCAGGTTAGCTGTGCTCTAATGACCTTTATATCTTTGTTCTAGTGTTTGTTTGTTTGTTATTTATTCCCCAAATATTTCATGGTCAACTCTAATTGATTTTTACCTAGCCGGGAGATGCTGTCAAGGGCTCCAATATTTGATCCTTACATTTGCTTAAATGATAATTTCCCAGGTCAAGTCATGGATAAAAACTAGTCTTACCCCAGGTTATGGGGTTGTTACAAAATATTTACTTCAAAGGTATTGCTTGTAATTTTTTTGCAGAATAAGTTTAATAGCTATCTAATGTAACACTGATATTTTTCCCCAAGTAGATAAGATATTTTTTCCCCGTTGTGCAGTGGGCTGCAGAAGTATTTAAATGAGCATGGCTTCCATATTGTTGGATGTGGCTGCACAACTTGTATTGGAAATTCAGGGGATTTGGATGAATCAGTTGCTTCTGCAATATCAGAAAATGGTATGGTTGTAGATTTGTTCTGAGTGTCTCTGACTTGTGTAAATAAAATTGAGCATAGTCACTGTTTGCCTCTCACTTGTAGGATTATCAAGTTAACTGTCAAATCCATCTAATTTAATTGTGGTCTGCTTCTGCAGACATTGTTGCGGCTGCTGTTCTTTCTGGGAACCGGAATTTTAAGGGTCGTGTTCATCCCTTGACAAGAGCTAACTACCTTGCCTCTCCTCCTTTAGTGGTTGCTTATACCTTTGCTGGGGCTGTGAGTAACAAAAACAAATAGTGCTGGTTTTTTTATTTTCATTGTTTTGTGTTTCAAGGAATTTATTCATCATTTCCTGATGAGATTTAATGTGGGAACAAATGAAAAAAGTGAAAGCTGAATCCCTCTGGTAGTGGGTATTTGCCTTCATTTGGTTTTTGAGTTAGATATTTGCCCCTTCAGTTGTCCTTGGAGGCATTTTTATGTGGACCCTGATACTTGTCATCTAATTGTAGTGCTCAAGATTCACCACATGACTAATTATATGGCCTCAGCCTGTCTTTCCTTAGTGGTTAGTATGTAGGTTTAGTTATGGCATACATGTCCCTTGCTAGTTAGATTAGAAGCAGCACCAAGTGTTTCTCTCAACTTAAGAAGGGACATTTGATAGGACATACCTTGTGTATGTTTTCAATGGTATGTGATTCTACAGGCCTTGCAGTGAACAGTTGACTTGGCTTCGAGGGTGGCCAATCATGTGGTCTTGGGTCTTCAAATATGCCAAACACCCTATAGTTAAGTCAACCCCAAGGGGTTGGCTTGGTGGCAAGGCCTTGGGTCTTGGGGGTGTGTTCCCTCCAAGGTTCAGGAATTAAAACCTCTTAGGTGCTAACAATTCTTTGGGGCCATCGGACTGGGGAAAAACTCTTGAATTAACCATGGTATACTTGTGGGAAACTCCTTGCCAAGGGCCTGTGTATACCTGGGGATTAGTTGGGCTTTGATTCAGACATCCCGGTGCCAATCAAAAAATAAATAAAACCTAGTTAAGTCCTGATTTGTGAGAAAAAAAAATCTATGTCCCTCATGCCATATCATTCCCTTATTTTTCCTCCCAAGGAGACTCTATTTCCTCAAGCTAAGGTGTCTCTGCCATCTGGGCCATTTTATCTATGCATGCCTCCTCCCACAAGGATCCTAATGATCCACAATTAGTTATAAATAGAATTATGAACCCATTTTTGAATTTTCTCAAAACGTTTTTGGACATTAAGGTGGGTAAGTTGGACTTATCAAAAAAAAAAGATGGTTAAGTTGGCCAGTTATTGATATTCCTTGGAGTCTTGGGTTAAACTTATAGGCACGTGCAAGATGCCATTCTAAGCTTGTGTTGGGTGCTACTAGGCAAGCTTGCATAATGTCATTCTCACATGAAACATGCACTTCACAAGGCAACATGATTAAGCAACGATGCACAACCGATATACAATATAACCTTTTCTTTAGGTGTCTAGGACTGCAAATGAACTGAACTGCTCACGAACAGACTCGGCTGATTAAGGGCTTAGCTCGTTTAATAAACCAGCCGAGTTCGAGCTCAAATATTAGGCTCGTTTAGTAAACGAGGCGAGCTTGAGCTCGAATAAGCTCGGCTCGTCAAGCTTGAGTCGTTTATCTTTATTTAAATTATATAATAAATATATTGTTTATATAGTAAATAATATATAAATAGTATTAAAAAAAACTTATTGAGCTGAGCCTGAGCCGAGCCTGAGCCTAGTTAGTTATCGAGCCGAGCTCGAGCTTAGCAAAGCTCGGCTCGGTTGGTTTGTAGCCCTATGTTTAAAAGAGGCTTATTGTTAAGCATAATTTGAAAGTACAAGAAAAATGATAAAAAGGGACACGAAATGATAAGAATGCAGTTGGAGAGGGCATTGCGCATTCCAAGTGGCATGGAAATCCAGTTGTGACACTTCACCACTAAGAAGCACGGAGACGGATACGGACACGGATACGGATGCAGACACAGACACGGTAAGGACATGACAATAAAATATGTTTTCATATATTTTTATTTGCTATCTAAATTGATATTATACCCACAAACAATCAATATTATCAAAAATAAATTTAATTCTTTAAAAAAAAACACTTTTAAATTAACATTTACAATTTATATCTTTTTATTTTTATTTTTTATGGATGATCTATTAAATATTTAAATCTAAGAAAAAAATAATAAACATTCAACATTCATCAAAAGCACTAAATAGACAATTTGGCGTGTCCCTAGTGTGTCCCATACGTGTCCCCAAAGTGTCCGCGTCCCTAAAGTGTCCGTGTGTTCGACACAGATACAATATTTGTTTTGAAGTTATGTTACCAGAAAATGTTAATATCCTAGTGAATTATGTATTGGTACGCATATTTTAAAACATGGTATACTTTTATTCCAAAATGATAAATTTAGTAAACCGAAGCGATCTCAAAAGTTTTTTCCAATATATTTCATTAAATGTTACCTGAAGAGGGGGAAAAAAAAACTATAATGAATTAAAATCAAAGGTGAGTTAAGTTTTGACATGACAAAAACATTAAAATGAGTCATAAAGAAATTATATTTTATTGGATATCTAATAGTTAAGAGAAAATTACTCTATAAGTAATATATCAAGTCTTACTCTTATCGTACCATATTTTAGAGTATGTGACGTACCACGTTCCCATTCTCGTTCCCGTTTCATATACCGGAACGATTCACATTCTAGGTAATATCGGTGCTTCATAGCTTCACCATCTAGGCTGGCAACTAGCATTAGTTTCACATAAATTACATATAATCCAAGTAGGGTTGATCACTTGGTACATAGTCTTTTATCTTTGTATTGACGTATTAATTGGTCACTTAAGAATAGTCTATTTGTGTTAGCTGCCACAGTTAGACATGTGCTTTAGCATCACATTAGTGACTAATAACCCAAGTTGGCTCGTGCATGGTCTTAACTTTTGCATTGGTATACTATGGATACTTACTTTGTGTATTGAGGATACTACTTAAGAAGAGTCTGGACATGTGTTTTGCACCAAATCTTCTTGGATTCTCTTGGTAACTTTTGACACGTGGTGTTACTTCAAATACCCTTCCTATGATGGTGGTGGCAGTAGTGGTGGCGGTAATGGTAGTAATGAGATTATAATAGCATTTATAAATTCAGTTAGAATTATATAAGTTTCATATGATTTAAATTTTTTTTTAAGTTTGACCTACATTTTAAGAGATTTAAATTTTTAAGTGATATCAATTGTAATTATTAAATAGATTTAATTGATTATTAATTAATATATTTAATTTTAAGTGTTGAATCAGATTATCAAACACAAGTGATGCAAAGATAAATAAGAGAGGCACACAACTCTTATACTGTTCTAAATTATTTAACTGACATAAAAATAAGTACCAAAAAATATATGTATTATTGTGTCAAATTTTTTTAGTTTTTCATCAATTAAAAGATTTTATAAAGTACTTTTAGTTTATGAAAAAAGCAAATTAAATTTTTTGCATAAAAATTATATTATTTTAAGTTCTTTTTGATATTGGACAAACAATTTGGGGACAATTAAAAAAACTCCCTAGATTTTAGTTTTTTAACAAAATAAACCCTCAATTTTAATTTTTTCAATTTAAACTCTAATATTTTAATTTACTTTCAATCTAAACCATTAACCTATTTTTCATAAATAAAACAGATGAAAAAAAATATATTTTAATCATTAAACTTAATGTAAATATATATAAATATCTAAAATAATTTTTTATTAAGTTTAATAACCATTCTCCTATACAATTTTTAAATGAAAATTTTAACTGTCTAAATTGTTTGTATATATTATCTACAAAAACAATTAGGTTAATCTTATAATCATAATTTATTTAATTTATCATATTTGTTAAAATAGACCATCTATTTTTCGGTGATAAGCTCAATAAATTGAGTAGCTTACTATTATTAGATTCGCCTAATCTTTTTTGGAGATGATATAAGCAAACAATCTTACAAAATGAACGGTTCAGATCTTCAAAATGAGACTTGTGATAAGTTTAACAAACTCGGACGGCGCTCTTTAGCCCAAATTATGAGCCGGAAGGAATCCAATTATTCTTTAAAATAATCAGGCCTGTTTGGTAACTCATTATTTTAGCTTACAAGTCAAAAAGTTATTAAAAAGTAAAAAAGTCAACAATTTATACCCAAAAAAAAAAATCTCATTTTTTTCCACCCACAATTACCTCAAAACTGAGACAATCAATCAATAAAATTTGAATTTGGCAAATTATCCTTTGTAAAATATTCCAATGTAACTATGGCATGCAGGGACATTTAGGAGAATGGTACCATAAATAAGGACAATTTTTTGCAGCACTCCCTCGAGGTTTAGCTAAATTACAGATACCCCTGAGGTTTGAGAAATTACAGATACTTCTCTAAAAGTTATATTTTCATAACAAATTAGTGGGCAATTTATTATGAAAATGTAAACCCCAAGAGGCAATTTATTATGAAAATATAAATTTCAGGAGGGTATCTGTAATTTCTCAAACCTCAAGAGAGTATCTGTAATTAGCTAAATTTTGAAAGTGGTATACGTAATTTGCCCTATTTTTTAATATTGCATATGCTATTAGTACGGAATTCACGTGTTTCATATACAGTATAATCAGCATTTCTTGTCCTTTTGGTTGACGTGGATAGATCTCAGTGACCCTTTATTTTTCAAAATAAATAAATAAATTAAAAAAAAAAAAAACCAAATAGATAGCCCTAGAAATGCTCCATCATATTATGGGGTCATTTGGGAAGTTGCCAAAAAAGTCAATTTTTTGACTTTTCAGTTTTTTTAATCAAAAAATCGCTTTTTTTTATCTAAAATAATCCAGTTTTTTGTCAAAAAATTAAAAAATTAACTTTTTACCAATTTTTCAAAACACCACTATATGTAACTTATCACAAAATATATAATTTTATTATAAAATTGTGTAATATTAATTATAAAATATATAATCTCGTTATAAATTAACATAATAAAATTGTCGTAACTAAATTATAAAATTTTATAACATTAATTACAAAATTACAAACTTTTGCAAGACCAATTACAAAATTTTTAAAATTTTTGTTACGTCAATTTGTAGTGAGATTACACATTTTATGGTTCATATTACAAAATTTTATGATAAAATTATACATTTTTATGATAGGTTACAGATAATGTGCACCCCTAAATGTGCGCACAGGAGAATTTCCCCTCACTGTTCAAAGTAGCGTGAGAGGTGAATAAATACAGGCTAGAATGATTCTTTGCTGAAGTTACATGACTATTCTTAGAATACATTTGGAGCTCTCTTTTAGCTGGGAACATATTTGTGTAGAATTGTTATGTTTTGCCCTAGGCATTCACCAATATCATAATATTTATGTATATATTTATGGACAGCA